AGAGGGGGTGGCAGCAACAACAAGAAAACTGATGGCCTGGTGGTCTGTAGCTAGGACACCCCACGGGTCCCACCAGAGTTTCCCAGGCTGATACACTCCAGGCAGACTGAGTTGCTCATCCTCTTAGCCTCTGGAGCAGCCAGGGTGCTTCCTCTGGCCGTCCCAGCCTGTCTACCTCTAGCATGCCGAACCATTAGGGTCTGTGTGTGTGTGTTAGGATCGTGGCAATTGTGTGGAGTTCAGTGCAGTGTCCTTTATTTTTTATTTTTATTTCTTTTTTTTTTTTTTGACAGGCAGAGTGGACAGTGAGAGAAGGAGACAGAGAGAAAGGTCTTCCTTTGTCGTTGGTTCACCCTCCAATGGCCACCACGGCTGGCGCGCTGTGGCCGGCGCACCGCGTTGATCTGAAGCCAGGAGCCAGGCGCTTCTCCTGGTCTCCCATGGGGTGCAGGGCCCAAGCACTTGGGCCATCCTCCACTGCCTTCCCGGGCCACAGCAGAGAGTTGGCCTGGAAGAGGGGCAACCGGGACAGAATCTGGTGCCCTGACTGGGACTAGAACCCGGTGTGCCGGCGCCACTAGGCGGAGGATTAGCCTAGTGAGCCGCAGCGCTGGCGCAGTCTCCTTTAAAGAGTAAAGATTTGTCCCTCTACCCCAACCCTTTCTAGTTATCCAAACACTCTTGTGAGATGTGCAGAAAATTGTTCTTTATCCTCTGTATTGAGTGAGCAAGTGGATAATAGTCCTCTTTCCAACTAGAGCACCCCAAGGCTCCCTCCTCCCTTGCCCAAGTTTCAACTCAGACCCTAAGAGTGGGGTTTGGGTGGGGGTGGTTTCTCCCATGTAGAGGTGCTGACTGAGAAGGCCAAGGCCGGCAGCATCTGGCATTCCTCACATGAAACCCAGAGGCTCTACGCCTGATGCCAGGACTGCAGAACGCCTTTCCTGCCAGGGGATTGTGTTCATTTGCACAGGATCTGAGACAGAAATTCCAAAGAGATGATACTGGAAACCGAAGGCCTATATCATATTAATAATACAGACAGGAAGGCTCCCTCGGCAGCTGGTAGCAAACTCATATTAAATAAAGAAAGGGACCTGGCCCCAGCCCAAGCCCCAGCAATGCAGCCAGGTCATTTCAGATTACAAATAGAAACAATTAAACCTTATTAGCTTTATTATAGACCTTGTCTCTGGCTGGCTATTAGGTTTCTGCACTTACATGCTAATTTCTGAGTCAAGGAATCAGAGATCCCCCCAGATTAGGTATCTACCACAGCCCAGCAGGCAGCAAAACCTAAGCAGTATTTATACTCGCTGGCCCCCAGTACCCATGTCGGGTGCACAGTGAGCAGCAAGCCAAGACAGCTGAGCTGGCTCGCAAGGCACAGCAGAGAGAGCACCAGCTCTGCACTCGGAGCGCTTGGGCTGGAGGCGTGCTTGGGCAACTGTGGGAGGCAGAACCCACGTTAACTCTCCTGCCCTCAGTCTGCTCAAGCCCCCGAGCCTTCACCTCTCCAGCCCCGGGGCCACTTGCCACACCCCTCTACCCACCACTTCCTAGAGAGCACATGATTTGGTTGAGCTGACGTCAAATGTGGACAATCCCACGATTAAGTAATGGGAGTTAAAATGCAGAGGGACCAAACTGCAGCTTCTCTTCTGTAAAATGAGGACAACAAAGCTCTCTGCTGATGTCCTGGGCTCATGCGGGTTCCTCCGCTTGCTGGAGTCACTAGTGCTGACTAATGACTCAGCTACTTAACCTCTCGTGGCCTCAGCTTCCTCTTCCCTAAAATGGGGACAGGCTTCTGGAGAGAAGAAAAGAGATGAATGTACTTCTTCTTTGACAAACTGCTAATTCTGCCCTTTGTCCACTTTTCTTCTGAGACGCTCATCTTGCTGATTTGTGAGAATTCCTTCTATGTTCTAAACTTTAGCTCTCAAATTTTTTTTTAAATTTGTCACCTATGGCACATAAAATGCTTAGCCTACTGACACATCAGTGGCAATTTTATTATGAAGAAATGTTTCCTAAGTGGGAAATGAGCTACCAGTATTCCATTGTTACCAGGAAGAATAGGTCAGACCCAAAGAAGGGGAGCGCTGTCTTCCTGGACAACTGAAATCCATCAGAGCTGGCTGGAACCAGAGGTGGTAATGAGATGGACAGGACTGGCACCGACCAGGAGTCTTCAGATGAGGAAGACAAGTGTCAAAAGGAACCAAGATCTTGAATATGACCGGCTCTCCTCGGATGAGAATACGTCCTGGCTCCATCTACCCCTCCTCCTGCCTCCCTCGCTTGAAAGAGCAACAGAAAGGCTCTCATCAAAGACCACCCCACATCTACTGCTGCAGAAATGGCAGCAGCAAGCCTCTGCGGTCCACACTGGCTGCAACAGAAGCTGGTCCAAGAAGGGCTGGACGCGTTTGTGTGGGCCACAGCCACGGTTGGTCATTAAGTGGCCTCTGAAAATGACGATAACATGCTGAGTGCTTACTTGATATCTGGCAGAACCTAACATTCTCTCATTTGATCCTCAAAGCAGCCCTGAGAGCCATCTAGCACTGGCATTTCCAGGCCATTTCACAAAAGGGGAAACTGAGGCTCAGAAGTTCCATGTTTTATTTAAATTAAAAAAAAAAAAAAAACCAGGTTGGTAAATGACAGAGCTAGGACTAGGATCTGGGCCTCTTGATTCCTATTCAAGATTATTCACTCAACAAATCTGTGCCAAGGCCCCACCATGCACCCACCTGGCTCTAGGTCGTGGCTTTGTTCTAACCCCTGTTTAGGCACTCCTAGAATGCCTCAGACCTTCTCATCTGTGCCTCATGTTACCTTGGGGCTCCTCCAGTCCAAGTGCGGGGCTGGAAGGTCCCTGTAGGAGGACCCTGGCCCAAATCTTGGCTTGGAGTTTTGTGAATGTTCCTGTATCCTGTGCCTAAGCAAATGGAGCACTGTTCTCTGGGCAACCATGCCAAAGAGCTGGGCCATGAGGCTCCCATAAAGATGCAGCTTGTGGGCCAGGCGGAATAACTTAAGAGGTTTGTGAGTCCACGAAATACCCTTGGTTTCCCTGCTGCAGCTGCAAACCTTCGACGTTTTAGTGTCTGCTAACTCAGCAAGGTGAACTGGCTTGGCTTAGAGCTGGTGGAGAGGAAGACAGCTCTTGTTCCTAAACCCAGCGTGCTGGCAGCCCCAGCAGCCCCGGCAGGCTCCATCTCACTTCATTTCTCCAGGAAGCCCTCCATCACCACCACCACCCTGAGATCAACGCAGGGATCCAGCCAGGGGTGAGGCCACAGAGACGGGCGCCCCAGCCAGGCTGCGTGTGGAGCTCTGGGCTGCCAGCTCCCACCCCTCCTCAGCCTCCTCTTCCTCAGAGGCGCTCCCGCAGGAAAGTCTCCCCAGCCGGCGGCTGGTGCTGTGGTCAACTGAGCGCAGACACTGGCTCCGGTCCCATCATTCATACCGCTCCCCCTCCCTCCTGCAATGCATGTGCTGGGGGCCAGGCAGCTGATGGGGACAAGGATGAGTCCCGGCCGTGGGTCTGTGAGGTGAGGGATCGCTCTAAAATGGAAAAGCTGCTTCAGGTCCAAAGAGGAGCCACGGGCTCAAGAACTCACAGAAGAGAGCAGGAGGGCCCACCCAGGAGGGCTCCACCGGGTGCTGCTCACTCCTTGTTTCCACAGGGAGCATTTAGGGAGCCTTCCTGTTCTGACTCAGAGCCCTGAATCCCAGGAAACTAGGATAGAGAGGCAGTGCACCAGGGCCCTCCTGGCTTCCTCTGCTCGCAGCCTCACAGCCCAGGGGCGCCTCTCCCAGGGCCCTTGGTGCGTGCAAAGCTCTGGCTCCCGCAGTCGAGGTGGGACGGCTTGATGGAGGGGCTGCGGTGCAGCAACAGGGAGACGCAGGGCTAAGCGTTTCCAGCTGCCCGTGGGCCCGGACTATATGAGGTGAGACTCTGCGAGGTTTCCAAGCATGGGCGAGGACAGCCCAAGGGCAGCCCCGGAGCTTTTTTTCTACTGTCCTCCATTTGATGAAAGACTTGTGGTTAAACCTTTATCTTCCATAAACATTTAAAATGTGGTTACCTTGATTTCCATGTCTCATTTTCCTTTTATTAAAAAAATGGGTTCCTTGCAGTAAAACATCTGATACGGGGGCTGTTCTGCAGAAAACAGATGTTTCTTCATGTAATAGACGTCGGCAGCCTGTGTGTGCCCACCAGGCCTCACACTCACGCTCAGACACATGCACACACATGTGTGTCTCAGTAAGGGCCCGGCGGCCACGCCATGGCCATCTACCAGTGAGGCCTATGAGTTAGGAGGCCAGAAGGACCTGAGACAGGCATGGAGGCGTGGAAGGGGTGGGGTGCATGGATCTGAGTGTTTGCACTAAACATCTCCCTGCTCAGTTCATTGTCTTGCTTTCTGGGGCCTCCTCACACAACCCCGGAGATGGGACACCCCTCTGAGCTCGGGTGCTCCCTGCTTCTGTAGGTGATAAGGGCAAAGCTGAAAACCAATAGGCACAATCAAGGGGAGTCTGCCAGCTTAGCCTGGGGCAAAGTAAGGAGGAGGCTCCGCCCCCCATCTTTCTCTTCTTTCTCACCATCATAGGCTAAGGGGAGGGTCACACAGGTTCCAAGGCCTTAGGAAAAGCCACCATTTTTGCTTCCTCCAGTAAGGCGCACATACGCTTTTGCCAGTTTTACTTTCATGTCTCAGGCATCGGGAGAGCCTGGCTCACTCTTTTTCCCAGGACTTTTGTTCCTTGTCTTTTCTGGAGGTTCCCCTAGAACTAGATGGGATGTCTGAAGTCTGCTCCCTTTGCAAGGATGCTTGTACTTTCACTGATGCCCTGGAAATTAAGAGTTAGCAAGGCCCAAAGAAATAAGTTCCCAGTTCTTGAATGTCTGGGTGCAAAGAAAGCTGTTCCTGCAAGGGCGAGGACCCCATCTGCTAAATGTGCGCCCCCCCCCCCACACAGCACAGAGGGAAAGTTACAGAATGGGTTCTACGCCCACCTGCCTCTCTCTGTTCTGGGGCCCAGGACACCGTGACCCGCACTGCCCCTCAGCCCCCCTTGAGGAGAGCTGGCTTTGTTCTTTTCCAGTTCCTGTGCACAAGCTGAAACCCTGAGCCAGTGATTCCAGGTCACCATTTCCCCCCAATGATCTTGATCTGCATCCAACCCACTTCATTTCAAATATGATTTGTGAAAGCTTACAGAACAGCACATAAGATGAAAATGGTATTTATTCTAGCAAACAACTAAAAAATGGGGATAGAAAAATAAGATAAATCCCGGGAGCTACACCAAATCTTTGCTAAGGAAAACTGTGGATTTGGCCCAGATGCTAGAGCAAAGAGGACAGCGCTATTGGTCCTGAGAGTCACAGTGTCACCAGGATTAGGAACAGACACAGACATTCCTGGATGGGAAACGCCACAGCAGCTTCTCGCATGGATTTGCAAACGGAATATTGAGGGATATAGGAAGCCAATGGGTTGCATCTTAAAAACAAAGCAAAAAACCAGACAGATCTTTTCTTACAGTTTATAAAAAATGAAAAGAAAGGAAGCAGGCAAAAGAATTGCTTGGGCTAAAGGGGCCAAGGGCTCCCCTCTGGGTTGAGGATGCCAAAGTAACCTATAACTTCACTCCCCCAAAATTCAGCTCACTGAAGGCACTGCATGTCTCTCAGCATTTCCAAACTTGCCAGAAGGCATGAGGCCCCTGGAGGGCTCCTTAAGCCCTGAGAACCATGGCAAACAGACTGCAGCCACAGCCAGGGGAGCCGACCAGGGTTTGGTGTGTGGCCCCATGTGCTCTTACGTCCAGGCACGCTTTAGAAATCCTGCCACAGACCAGGGCTCCACTCATTGGGCTGCAGCAGGAGGTAAAGAAAGACCCATGAGAATGGCAGACTCCATCCTGGGCACGTGGCATCCATAGTAGAGGCCTGAGCATGTCTCTGCCAAGAGAAACAGCAGGGTGAAAAGGCACTGTAAAAGCTCTCAGCGCCACGGGCTACAGTGACCAAGAGTGGGACAGAGGACTTCCCTGTCACGTTCCCAGTATTTGTCCCCCACCTCCCACACCAGCCCCATCCTGCCTTTCCTACTCCCAAGGTGAAGCAACCCTTGCCGAGCTGTATCTGGGATCAAACCCTGGCATTCCTACCTATGACTTTGTGTGCCTTTGGCAAGTTCTTGATCTATTCAGGGCCCTGGTTTCCTTATCTATATAGTGAGGGTGTTCACTAGGCAGCATATACTAGCCTATACTGAAATGACGAGCAACTCTAAAATTTTAGCAGATTAAAGTAAAGGTTGGGTCTGGTGTTGTGGCACAACAGTTAGGCTGCCACTTGCAATGCGGTATCTCATATCAGAACACCAGTTCAAGTCCCAGCTACTCTGCTTCCAATCCAGCTCCCTTGCTAATGTACCTGGGAAGGAAGCATAGGATGGTCTAAGTACTTGGACTCCTGCCACCCATGTGGAAGACCCGGATGAAATTCTGGCTCCTGACGTTAGCCTGGTCCTGGCCCAACCATCCTGGCCATTTGGGGAGTGAACCAGCACATGGAAGAGCTCTTTCTCTCTACTTCCTTCTCACTATCTGCAACTCTGGCTTCCAAATAAGTAATAAGTATTTTTAAAATATAAAGGTTCATTTCTTCTTTATAATATTTATTTATTTGAAAAGCAGAGAGAGAGAGAGAGAGAGAGAAAGAGAGGGGGAAAGAGAGAGAGATCTGTTGGTTTACTCCCCAAAAGGCCATGATGGGGACCAGGCTGAAGCCAGGAGCCAAGAATGCCATCCGGGTCTCCCACATGGGTAGCAGGGGTCCAAGTACTTAGACCATCTGCTGCGTTCCCAGGAGCATTCCCAGTGAGCTGGATCGGAAGTGGAGCAGTCAGGACTCAAACTGTCGCTCCAATATGGGATACAGCATCAAAGGCAGCAGCTTAATCTGTTGTGCCACACACTGGCCCTAAGGTTTATTTCTTATTCAGGCAAATTTGGCTACAGGTGCAGGAGCTGACCAAGGCATCTGCCCTCTACTCCAGGCTGCTCTGATGATGGGTCACATAGTCAACCATGGGCTTTCAAGATTGGAATAGGATTGTGGGGAACTTCCAGTGACTATAAAATGCTTTAGTCCAGAGGAGATGCACATCTTCCATTTACCAATTGTGGGGAGCAACCCGGACTAGACTAAGTTACTGGAATTAGGACTTATTCTATGCATCTGCTCTCCCACAATATGGCGCTGAGAAGGGAGAAACAGCTTCTACGCAGCTGCCTCCAGTTCAACCAATAAACTGTAGGACCTGCTCCTGATTGGAGGAGAGCAGCATACTCGGCGTGTGGGTAGCAGAGTTGGGATTGGTGGAAGGACTATAAAGGAGGAGAGAGACAACATGCACCAGGAACATCTAAGGGGAACACCTGTGCAGCCCCCGAGAGAGCCGGCCGGCGGTGTGCTGCTCCCCCGCGGAAGTGGGGAATGTGGCAGGGGGAACCGCCCTTCCACGGAGGTGGAAGGGACGGCAGCCAACCCGGGAAGAACCAGCAGCAAACCCGGGGAGGGCCGAGCAGACGAAAGAACAGCGCAGGGTCCTGTGTCGTTCCTCCATGAAGACGGGGAGCGACATAATGGTGCCGTGACTCGGATATGAAGCCTAGGCAGGGTTTAGTGTCGTTCCTCCATGAAGAGGGGGAGCAACACCAATCACTAGGGCAAATTTGTCAACCAGGCCTGCCTTCAGCAAGGCCGTGGCAAAGGGCAATCACCTTGGTGTCTGGAAGAGCCCCAGAGAGGAGGAAGCACTGAGCATGGTATTACCGGGGATAGTAAGAATGGCAGCAGTAACCCACGCACGCCCCTAGCGCCATTGCTGCCGTATGGAAAAGGTTTCAGAATGCTCATCTCTTGCCTTCTCTCCCATTCTGGTAAGAAGCTGCTTTCCATTTACTAGCTGGTCACTTCTTTTTCCCAACAGCTCAGGTTTCTGGAGTATCTTATGACCATGAAGTTCAGCATTCATCATGAGATGCCTAAGAACTTTGGATGCCACAATAACAAGGGGCCAGGGAGGACTTATTATCTCATATTTTATTTCTCCCTCCCTCCCTCTCTCCTTCTCTCTCTCTCTCTCTCTCTCTCTCACACACACACACACACACACACACACCACTAATATTTGTTAAAGAATGAGCATTGGGGCTATCGCTGTTAGGCAGTATGTTAAGCTTCTGTTTGCAGTGCCATCATCCTATACAGGCACCAGTTCATGTCCAGTCACTCCACTTATGATTCAGCTCCCTGTTAATGTACCTGGGAAAGCAGCGGAGGATGGCCCAAGTCCTTAGGCCCCTGCACTCATGTGGGAGAACTACAGGAAGCTCCTGGCTTTGGCCTAGCCCAGCCCAGCCCTGGCCATTGCAGCCATTTGGGGAGTGAACCAGCAGATGGAAGATCTCTCTGTCTCCCTTCTCTCTCTCTCTCTCTCTCTCTCTCTCTCTCTCTCCCTCTCTCTGTAACTCTTTCAAATAATAAATAAACTTAAAAAAAAAAAAAGAGTGCCTGTTCTGAGGGTTGTGCATTAAAGTTCCACCACCACCTGGCGACATCAGTGAACGTGGCTGATTCAGGATCAGGGGACAGGAAGTGCTACCAAATGCAGGGGAAAGGCCATTCCTGGGACAGGAATGACAGCTCCGGGTTCTAGAATCTGTGTCCACATCCATGAAATGTGGCTAATACTCCTGCTTCACTCACTGGGCTGTGGATCGGATCCTCTGTGAGCAGGAAGCTGAACCCCTGCAACTCAACCCAAATGCAGGCTAGGACTGTCTGACAGGTGCCAAACCCCTCAAACGCTGCTCTGTGCTTAGCGATCTCACTCCTCCGAGGTAGTCCTAGTCCCTTGATAAGTGACTCACTGTCGGGCTGCACCGCTCCACAGTGTCCCCAGCAGAGCCCATCTGGGAGCATGCGCCCTTCTGGGGGCCTTTCCTGCAGCAGCCTGGGCTCTGGGCAACAGCTCACTGCTGCCCTAATCATCACGGAGCTCCCACCACCCGCACAACCTGAATGCCAGCTTTCACGCAGGCATCTGGCAATGTGTGTGCTTATGAGCAATTTGTAATGGAAAAAAGACTGACCTGCAGCAGGCTGGGAGGAGAGGGGCCCAGAACACCAGGAAAGGCAGATCCCTTCACCGGGGCCAACTCGGGGCTGCCCTGCGATGCTGAAGGCACTATTTGATCTCCTGTTAAGTTCCACATGGCTTCAATTTCCACGTGCTCTGAAAGAATGGAATTAGAGTCAACGGATCCAACATGTCTGCCATAAAGACATGTTCTTAATCAGGTAGGAGAAGCAGGAGAAAAGGAAATTCTCACTCATGGAAGACCTACTATGTGCCAGCCTCATACCAACAACTTTGTTATCTCCTTTGAGCTTCACAATAACCTATGAAATAGCTTTTACTATTATCCTTTGTGGTAAGTGGCAAAAAAAAAAAAAAAAAAAAAAGTCAAAACAGCCACGTATTCTACACCTCATCCCATCAAGAAGTGGAGTCTGCTGCTCCATCCTTCAGGTCAAGTGTTGACCATTCTCGCCTTGGCCAATGGGCCTGAGCAAACACAATGGGGCCTGAGTAAGCAGGGGCTTGGAAACGCTTTAGCATCAGGCTAGCCCTCTCTTTTCACTTTGAGCCCTTTGCCAAGATCTGAACAAGCACAAGGCAGCTTCCTGGAGTGTAAGAGAACGTGTGGAGCCAGGCCCCAGATGTTGCAGCCACTGCAGCTTAGGAGTGAGGCCATCCTAGACTACCCAGTCCCAGTAGAGGCAGTCTGTAACCTGAACAGCTGCCCAGCCAAGCCACGGAGCCATGAGAAACGTCAGTGCATGTTGTATTAAACCACCACGTCTTTGGAGGTTGGTTGTCCAGCAAGAGCTCCTTATACAGGCCTCGCTGTAGGTGGGGCCGAAGCTCAGAAAGCCGAAGTCATTGCTCCCAGATTGCTCAATGGCGAGCGGCAGCGCAAAGACTCGAACCCCGGCTGATGCTCAGCGGACTGAACGATCTGCTTCCCCTACGACACGCCAGCATGCAGAGCGGGTGCCCGAGTGAAAATCCCCCGAGAAACGCTAACTCCCCCCAGCCCCCGCCATCGTTCCACCTTGGGGAAAGCCAGCAAACCTCCAGTCCTCTGGGGAAGTGCTGCTGACGGAGACCTCCTGTCTCACAGAGGCACAGCTCGGATCAGGACGCTCCTGTCCACATGGACTGTCGTCAACAGAACCGCAGGGCCGCCCAAGAGCCCCAGCAACTGCGCTCCGGCTACACGGTTCTGCCTCGGCTCCGGTGCTCAGTGGTGTGACGGTGACCCTCCGGGAGCTCCCCGGGAGTTCTGTTTGACAGTGGTATTGAGAACCACCTCAAATGTTTGAATGCATCCCCAGGAAACTACTTCCTGGCCTGACATCACGCTCTGAGCGGCCGAAGGGCCTGTCTAACATGAACGCGACAGGCTCGGGAGCCCTGGTGACCAGCCCTTGTGGTCCCAGTCAAGTTCTCCTGTGCTGGCACCTCCAGGTTCCGGCTAACCTGTGAACCCCCTACGGAGGAGGAGGACAGCACGTGAGTGTTGGGTCCTGGGGCAGGGAAGTCTGTGCTGCTGAAAGACTGGTTTTAAGCAGAATTTGGGAACAATCCTTGATTGGGTTTTTTGGTACCTCTGGGACTGGCTTCCAAGCCTCCCTGCCTCCCTCCCCCACCACCAAAGTGCTCCATGCTCTGGAATTATTTCCCCTTCCCTCCCCTTCCCCTTTGCTGCTTTCTCTCTCACCACCCAGGTGAACCAGACTTCCAAGATGGGCTTCCTTTAACTGTCCCCACTTTGTTCCACTTTAACTACTTCTCTTCCTCCACTCAGAATCTCATGGATTATGCAGAAGCATCAGATATTTGTCCCCTGGTCTCTCTCCTAGAAATGGCAGCAAAGAGTCTGCTGACAACAGCACTGACCAATCCATCAACAACTTTAATTTGAATTCTAATCACATCCGGGACTTCAGCTATAAACTCTTGCACCTATGGTGAACAGAGTCTGTACTTTGATATCCTTCATGACTTAAAGGTTAAAGTCTAAATCTGTTGAAAAATAAAATGCATAAGGAGAAAGAAATCTTTTGATATGATTTATGGGATACCGTATGGAGCCTGGAATTTGTTCTTGAAAGCAATCATGTGCAAAGAAATTAGCAGATACTAATTGCTTTCGGGACAAAAGTGCATCTCATTATAAACTATTGGATTTTTTTCAAATGAGCTCCTTTCCAGCTATGCGAACATCTGGAATCCCAGGGGCCAGAGGCCATGCCAGAGCCTTCCTTTCAGCCCCAGATGGAAACCTGGCTTTGCAGGCTGCAGGGGCTTTGCATTAGAAAGGCTGCAGGCTGGGGAAGTGGCCAGTGCTGCTTTCTGGGTCACAGGGTGAAACGAGTAGGGGCCATGAGTAGCAAGCACTGAAAATCTCAGCTTCAATTCCAAACTCAGCATCGCATTCAAGCTTCCCTAAAACCCGGACCTTGCCAGCTTTATTTCCTCCTCGCCTTCTTCCTCCCCAACTCTCACCCCTAAACTGTCCGCAGTCCACAAAGATCTCCTTCACTTGGGAATAATCTCCTCCCCCTGAACCCCATTTTTAAAAAGATTTATTTGAAAGAGATAAAGAGATCTTCCATCTGCTGGTTCCCTCCCCAAATGGCCCACAGCAGGTCTGGACCAGGCTGAAGCCAGGAGCCCAGAACTCTATCAGGGTGTCCCACATGGATGCAGGGGCTCAAGATCTGCTGCTGCTTTCCCAGGCGCTTAAACAGGGAACTGGATCACAAGTGGACCAGCTGGGTCTCAAGCCTGGGCTCTGACCTGGGATGCTGGTGTCCCAGGCAGCAGCTTAATCCACTATGTCACAACATCAGCCCCCATCCCCTTTCTTTTTTTAAAAGATTTAGTTAGTTATTTGAAAGTCAGTTACACAGAAAGAGCAGGAAAAGCAGAGAGAGAGAGAGACAGAGAGGGAGAGAGAGGGAAGGAGAGGTGTTCCCTCCGTTGGTTCACTCCCCAATTGGCCGCAATGGCCGGAGCTGCTCCAATCCGAAGCCAGGAGCCAGGAGCTTCTTCTGGGTCTCCCACATGGGTGCAGGGGCCCAAGGACTTGGGCCATCCTCCACTGCTTTCCCAGGCCACAGCAGAGAGCTGAACGGGAAGTGGAGCAGCCGGGACTTGAACTGGCACCCATATGGGATGCTGGCACTGCAAGTGGTGGCTTTACCCGCTAAACCACAGCGCCGCCCCCCCATCCCATCCCATTTCTTCACTGATCCAAACCCCGATCCTTCAAGGCCTGCTGCAAAGCACTTCCTCTCCACTTCCTGCAGGGGCTGCATGCCACCAGCACTGCCACAGCAGAACTCCATGGTCCACTTGGACCTCCTCTGCCTGCTCTGCAGACTGAGCTTCTAACAGAGGGGGAAGGTGGGACCGGATGCCTCCTCTGGGCTCACCCTCCAGGTCCAGGGGAGTGGGGTCAGATGCCTTTCCTCCTAGGCAGCACCCTGTTTTGGGTGGCTGGCCAGGCAACCTAGCACCCCAATCCACAGAGACCGATGGACTGAGCAATACAAAAGTGTATTTCCCAGAACCTCTCAGGAGGGGGTGGGGCAGGAGCCTCCCAGGGTCATTCCCAAGCAACAATGAATGGTCTCTAAACTGCACTTCAGGGCCCAATTAACACCAAGGCTTTGGTTTTACTGAGAAGGGAATGTGAGTTGGAGCCAGAGTGGATTAACTGCTCAAGACCAGAAGAGAAAGGACTGTAGTTACCACACAGGTTCCCCTCTGTGGGCCTCCCCCTCCAGCACTCTGCCTTTCCCTAAATGGAAGGGACCACACCTTCAAGAGAATCTACTGGGAATGACCTTGCCCAGGGTAGCTGCTGTGTGCAACCGTGGCCCAGCTGACTTGGCAAGGGGGTCTCTGTTCCTCTGCTCCCAACTGCTAGCTGGGCACACAGACCCAGGCCACTCTCCTGTTTGTGGAGGGCTGAGGGCTTGCTGGCCATGCTGGGAGGAGCACACCCCTCCATGGAAGCATGGGCCTCTAGCCTACCAAAGCACCCATAAGCAAGGCCAGGGGACTCTGTTGCTGGGCATTTTTTGCTCAGATTCCCTTTTTTCTTTTCTTTTTTTTAAATATTTATTTGAAAGAGTTACAGAGAAATGGGGGTTGGGGGGGCTTCCATCACTGGTTCACGCCCCAGATGGCCGCAACAGCTGGAGCTGCACTGATCCAAAGCCAAGAGCCAGGAGCTTCTTTCGGTTCTCCCACGCAGGTGCAGGGGCCCAAGGACTTGGGCCATCTTCTACTGCTTTCCCAGGCCATAGCAGAGAGCTGGACTGGAAGTGGAGCGGCCAGGACTCGAACCAGCAGCCATATGGGATGTCAACACAGCAAGCAGCAGCTTTAACCACTAGGCCACAGCGCCGGCCCCCAGATTCCCTCTTATGCTGGCAGTTAACAATGACCAGGTCACTCCTTTGACCCTGGAAGCCAAAGCTTCCAGCCCCAGCCTAGGAACTGACTCTGAATCTTTCCAGAATTCCTCCCAACTACAGTGGAAGAGAGGACTCTACCCCAGGCAAGGACCTCCACAGAACGACCTACCATTGGTCCCAGCCTAAGGCAGATCTGATTCTTGGACAGGTAACCTAGAAACATGGAATTGAGCTTGGTACTTTTCCCCTTGCATTTTTTTTAAAGATTTATTTATTTATTTGAAAGTCAGAGTTACACAGAGAGAGGAGAGGCAGAGAGAGAGAGAGAGAGAGACAGAGAGAGAGAAAGAGAGATGTCTTCCATCCACTGGTTCACTCCCCAGATGGCTGCAATGGCTGGAGCTGCGCTGATCCAAAGCCAGGAGCCAGGAGCTTCTTCTGGGTCTCCCATGCGGGTGCAGGGGCCCAAGGAATTGGGCCATCTTCTACTGCTTTCCCAGGCCATAGCAGAGAACTGGATTGCAAGTAGAGCAGTAGAGCAGCCGAGTCTCAAACCGGCGCCTATATGGGATGCCGGCACTTCAGGCCAGGGCATTAACCTGCTGTGCCACAGTGCGGACCCGACTTTTCCCCTTCCTGACCCTGCTGAGTAGGGAAAATGTGTTGCTCTAAGGAATCATTCTTTTTTTTTTTTTCTTTTTTTCTTTTTTTTTTTTGACAGGTAGAGTTATAGACAATGAGAGAGAGAGACAGAGAGAAAGGGCTTCCTTCCATTGGTTCACACCCCAAATGGCCACCATGGCCAGTGCTGTGCCTATCTGAAGCCAGGAGCCAGGTGCTTCCTCCTGGTCTCCCATGTGGGTGCAGAGGCCCAAGCACCTGGGCCATCCTCCACTGCCTTCCCGGGCCACAGCAGAGAGCTGGACTAGAACAGGCACAACTGGGACTAGAACCCAGTGCCCATATGGGATGCCGGTAACGCAGGCAGAGGAATAACCAAGTGAGCCACAGCACCGGCCCAGGAATCATTCTTGAGGGAATCTTTTTGTTCCTCTGGGAATCAGCTGCTGCAGTTGGTAGAGCATTGGTACCACCCCTTACACTGTGGCTGTACCTCCCGTTCCCCATTGAGAACAAGTCACCACATGGCTTCTCTGTTCCCCTGGGAGCCCACAGTGCTCAGCAGGAAGCAGCTTCCCCAACACCAAAGTTCTCCCCCAGTGCAGCATTTCCTAGTACCTAAAGGACCCAGGTTTGGTGGCTGGCCCGGGCCTCATGTCTCCGGGCCTCAACGCTGAGTCCTGTCACTGAGGCCTGCCTCCTGCCAACGCTCCTCAACAATTCACGGTGGTGTCAGGAAGCACAGTCTCCCGGACTGCCCCAAACTGAAATGTCTGTGCATCAGACAGCACACTCAAGGATAAGACACTCACACAATGAGAGACTACATTTGCAAAACGTATCTGGTAAGAGATTAACACCCAGCATAGAGAACCCCTTAAATCAACAATGAAAACAAACAATCCGATTGAAAACTGGACAAAGACTTGAATAGACACTTTTCCAAAGAGGATACATAAGTGGTCAACAAGCACAGGAAGAGACGTTCCATGTCACTAATCATTAGGGAAATGCAAAACAAGCCATAATGAGATACCATCTCACATCCCCTAGGATGGAGCTATCCAGTAACAGCAAGAATAAAGTTGGTGAGTATGTGGAGAAGTTAGAAACCTACATGCTCATGGTGGGAATGCAAACTGTACAGCTGCTACAGTAAACAGTATGGCAGTTTGACAAAAAATTAAGAACAGAATTAACACATGACCCAGCAGTTCCACTTCATGGATGTCCGCACACAAGACTGGAAGCAGAGTCTGGAGAAGATATTTGTACATCTACGATCACAGTAGCATTATTCATACCAGCTAAAACGTGGGAGCAACCCAGGTGTCCAGCCACAGATGAATGGATGACCGAACTGGTTTTACTGCGTTCTGAACATGTATGTCTTACCAAAATTCATACGGTGAGATGACAGCTCCCAAAATGACAGTAGTAGGAGCTGGAGCCTTTGTGGGTGGTGAGATCCCAGGGGTGAAGCCCACACGCATGGGGTTAGTGTCCTCATTAAAAAGGGGGCGGGGCGCTCACACAGGCCTCTGCCACCACGTGAGGACACAGCGAGGAGGCACTGTGTATGAACGGGAGCTACCATGTGCTGAGCTGGGGAGGTGATCAGAGCAGCTGCCCTTCCACAACTGCTTTACCTCAAGCGCCCGCGATTTTTTCCATACCAGCTCGCCAAGCGAAGACACAGCACACAGACTGTGTGGTGGTCCCTGCCTGCAGAGGGCGCTCCTCCTTCTCAGGCTTCAGCTCCTGGCTGTGGTGGTGCCTGCTGTAGCTCAGGAACCTCAAACCCTGACCCAGGCTCCCTCCTCAACCCTGACACTGCCTCCTGGCTGGCACTCTCAAGGGATCACCAGCATGCAACAAGGGGTCTGTCTCCAGCACCTCCACTATCTGTCCTCAAGTCTGTCCACCCCACCCGCACACACTAACTTTCTAGAAGCATCAGTGACACTTCGGGTGAGAGCTTTGCTCTGACACCGGGCTCCCTCGAAGCAGCACAGCCCAGTGCTGCCTTGCAGCGGGGCAGCCTCCGTCTCGGGGGCGGGCGTCGTGGGGAAGTCAGGGAGGGTGCCTCTTCCTCACCACATGCGAGACAGAACTGTTTAGCTTGGCCAAAGCCAGCTCCAACTGTGTGTGATAGCCATCTCCAGGCTCGCTGAGGGACAAAAAGACCAAGGCGGAAAGAGGAGCCAGGCTGGGGGCCTCGGAACTGGGAGATAACGGACGAGGGGAAACACAGTCTGAAACCCAAGAATGTCTCCCGGTGCTGGCTTTCCGGACGCACTGCAGCGCACTGGCTGATAGAAAGATAAAGATGCTGACGGGGATGCTCGAGTCATCCTCTAACCTCGTCTCTCTCAAAACCAAAACCAAAAAAAAAGGGGCAGAAACCCCACAAGGACCCCTCCATGTTTCTCTTCCCTCTTTAATGAGGGATAGCAGCATCTTGCTCCCATCAACACTGGGCACAGAGCCCCCACCCAGGCTAAGTGACCTGCACATCCCTGAGTCAATGGACAAATGAAGGCAGCTGCCCTGTTGGGCCTCCGAGTTCAAATCCCAGCTCTGCTACTACTCCTGCCATGGCCGCCAGCGAGCATTGGATGGCCCCAAGCCTCAGTTTCCTCATTTAGAAGGCGGCGTTTACAACCGACTCGGCCTCACTAGGCGACAGTGATGACCACACAATACGGCACAGCTGAAAGGGCCTGTAAGGCTAACACCATCTCCCAGTATTAAATTCCACTGAACTTAACCCTGACTTTTACACAGCTTGTATTTAGACATGCACTGTGCCCTGCAGTAGTCACTGGCCACATGTGGCTATTACGCACTTGAAATGTGGCTGATGCAAATTGACACACACAGTAAGTAGGAAGTGTGTATTTGAATATAAGCATGTAAAAATATCCTGCTAATATTTTATACGAGCAGATGTTGAAATTATCATATTTTGACATATTGGGTTAAATATATGAAAATTTACCCTTTTTCTTTTTACTTCTTTCAATGTAGCTACTAGAAAGTTTCAATTTGCACCTGTGGCTCATGTCGTATTTCTGTTGGACAGCACTGGTCTAGACGGACACACACACGAAGTCAACACTAACAAGGGAATTAAACAACCAACCGTCTGGCAGTGATCCATCAGCGTTCAATTCCTGGCTGACGCTGGCAGTCAGTGACTGGCACACAAGCGCTGGCCAACCAGTGTCCCCTGAAGTGCACACCACACGGGTGTCTCTCTGGATCGCCACTGGTCAGAAGAGCAAACCAACACTGAACTCTGAGCAGCCTTCAGGATAATCCAAACTAACTCCTCATCTTTATCGTTCAGATGAAGAACTGAAGGTTCAGAGAGGGTTGGGACCTCGCCAACCCCACACGGCCCACGACTGACTCGGGGTATTTTCCATCAGACCGCAGTGGGGATTTTTTTTTTTTTTTTTTAATGAAGACTGCCTAAATCACATTCCGTGATAACTCGGTGGAAATAACAACCATGTCCACATTTGGTGGATGAGAAAACTGAGGCCCAAGTAACTAAACGGGCACAAAAAGCTGCATCTCTGAGACCAGAGCCTTGGCCCTTCACCCCACACTCCCTCTCCCATGACAGGCTTCCTCTCCAGACCAGGAGGATGGCCCAGCACCATGGAGCCTCCCCTGGCTCCTGCCCACCCACCCCCACCTCCGGCTCAGGACCCGCCTTGAGCATTCTTCAGCCTAATTGAATAATGGAACCACACCGATTCTTTCTTCCAAGGGCCAGGGGTCCTGCTTGGGAATGTTGACTTTGGAAAACAGTACCAAAGACACTCTGGCTACAATTTCCAAATCAGAAACAGCCTCCAAATCCTTATTCAGCAAACAGCAAGAGACCTCAGAAGGGCTGAGCCTGCTTCGTGGCGACAGCCTAGAACCTCCTCTCCCTGCGTCAGGCTTCCAGAAACAAAAGAGGGAGTCACAGGGAAGCTCAAAGCCACAAACGTCTGGCTGTCCCAGGATTCAGAGATGAACCCAATAAAAATCCTACCTCTTGGTCACGCCCCGTCCAGTAGAGAAGATCCAGGCCAACAGCGGAGTGGCAGCAGACCGCAGGGAAAGGGGCGGAGCCAGGCATCATGGGGTGGGGTTCTTGCTCCTCCACCTCTGCTGCTTTCCTTCCTTACGGTTCAGTGGCTGGCACTTGAGCCAGCCCACGGCTCTCCCCAGGTGGCAGCTCAGTTACTGTGTCCGACCACTTCCAGAGCCCTCTGTGTGCACGGCCTTGCCCTGCAGCTGTTTTCTCAGAGTCTTTTCCTTATCCCCAAGGGTCTTCTTATTCTCTCTCATGGTATCTAGAATGAGGCTGCGCACGCAGTAGAAGCTCAGGAGATTCTTAGATGTCTAGATCTATAGGCCTGGGGCAGAGGTGGCATGAAAAATAAAGAATATGTTAGGAGAGAATTTCAAACATTGCCATTACTCCCATCTCTCATAGGCACTTTTTGGGAAGTCTTTACAAAAATGACACTAGCCCCTGTCATCATGTCCCAGCGTCTCGCCCCTCACCTGCCACAAACATCTTCCTACTTGTGTGTACACACCTCAATCCGCTTGCCTTCCTGAGAGTTTGACTTTCAGGCTAGTACCTAAACATCAATCCACCTACCATCTATATCTCTTGGGCACAAAGCACAGAAAGTGTGTGTGTAAGGGCTGGGGTGTGTTGCAGAAGGAGACACAGACTTGCTCTGTCTACTCAGCTACAGGCTAGTATGTGCCATAAAAATGCCCTCTGCATTTCATTTTTGTTTTTAAGATGTATTTATTTATTTAAAGGCAGAGTTACAGAGAGGCCGAGGCCGAGGCCGAGAGAGAGAGAGAGAAGTCTTCTGTCCAGTGGTTCACTCCCTAAATGGCTGCAATGGCTAGTGCTGGGTCAATCAGAAGCCAAGAGCCAGGAGTTTCTTCCAGGTTTCCCTGTGGGCACAGGGGCCCAAGGAGTTGGGCCATCTTCCACTGCTTTCCCAGGCCATAGCAGAGAGCTGGATCAGAAGAGGAGCAGCCAGGACATGAACCAGTGCCCCTATGGGATGCCAGCACTGCTCACGGTGGCTTTACCTGCTATGCCACACACTATGCCACACGCCGGCTCCACCCTCTGAATTTCAAAGAGTACAGACAAGTGAAAGTGCAAAATGCTCACTAAAATTGAGTAGCTTAAGTAAACGAGGCTAAATGAAATATATTCAAGTTGCTCTCACCTGTCTCTAGTTATGGCTACTAGAACATCCTAAGATAAAGTGCAGGCACACACCTACTTCAGGTATTGGGGGTGGGGCTGTTTATGCTCTTTATTGTCCTCACAGGCATTCCTCCTGCAGTTACACTTTTCTAACGTTTTATTGCAGGTGAGGTAAATGCATAAATGAGATATGTGGAATGACTGACGTTCAGGATATATGAGGGACATTAAAGGCACCGTTAGGATTTGATGACAGCTGCCAAGAATACTTTCTATAATCATAAATGAGATAAGCACAAAGCAATGAAGACAACATAAAAAATCCTGGCACAGGCCAGGGGCAGGTGTTTCCCGTGCTGCAGCTAACGACCCTATGGGAGCCTGCTGCTGGCTGGCAACAGCTCCAGGGCCGGGGCCGGGCCGGGAGCCGCAGGGTAACGCTCTGTCCCCATGGCCATTCTCACCTATGCTGATGGCTTGGCCTGGAAGGCATCCCTGCGTGTACTTTCATCCTGAAATCCCTGCCAGCTGTGCGAGCTTCAGCCGAGGCCCCTCCTCCCAGGGGCCTGCCTTGCCGCCTGCACTGCACATCAGCAGGGCGTTCTGGCTGCCTCCTACTGTGTGAACTGGTGGGGGGATGGAAGGGTGGAGGTTTGTCCTGGGGTACATGGATATAGCTGGGCCACTCCCGGGCTCCATGGAAGGTTCTCCACCGGAGACGACTCCGTGAGCTAGGCAGGCCAGGCTCCTGCAGACTCTGTGACTGTTCACTTTCCAACCACCCTCCCTCCCTCCCCGAACAAGTGCTCCACTGGAAACTTTCAAGCATATTCTCCATCTCGACACACCCCACTCTGCTATGATCCCAGTGGGGACAGCCAAGGGAGCAGACCTTGGCAAAGCTGCTGGATGCTCAGGGCACCCCAGCTGGCTGTCCTCCTCCGGCCCTCCACTCTGCTCACCCCAACCACACTGTCTTCCACAGCTGGAGGTCTCTGCCCGCTCCCACTGTCTCTGTATCAGGTGTGGGGAAGGATTCGGGGAGCGAGGGAGCCAGCAGGGCCACAGTTCCAGCGCTCAACCTAAAGCGAGAGCCAAACAGCACAGCTGAGCCAAGGCTCAGACCTTCTCTTCCGGCCCTCCAGGGCTGAGGCAGCACAGGGTACTGGGGGCTGCCAGCGGATTCTGCTCCCTCCCCAGCCCCAGCACTGAAGGCCAGACGGAGGGGGGCTCCTCCTCATGAGGCCTGGCAGGACACGGGACCAAGGGCAGACCCAGGCAGGCGTGGGGCAGGGACGGCTCACCGCTCCTCCAGGGCGCTCCCGGTTGGCCCTGAGCCAAGAGCAGGTGGACTGGCGCCGTGAGTTTTAAGGCTGCTCATTTAACTGTAGAGTCTTCTGGGAGCTGGACCTTCCTCCCAGTTCCCACAGCAGCCAGTGTGGGGTACACACAGGCACCAACATGGCTAGGCAGGGGCTTAAGGGCGAAAGCCTGTGGCCAAAGCCTGAGAACCTAGGGCATTCTGGGAAGTCAAGGAGGGGCACAAACAGCAGAAAACCTCTCTCGGCTCTTCTGGAGGGTCTGCCCTCCTGCTGCCAAAGGCCGCCACGACGCCCGGCTCCACCCCTCCCCCCCGACCAGGTGGTTCTTCCTCCACTCAGGCCGTCCCTTCCTGCACCACCCACTGGCTTCCCTGTCCCTTCCTCCTCCCTGGGACGGAGAGGATAACACCAGGGCTTCTTTTCAGGTTGCAATGGGCATCAAACACGCTGTGCTAGGCCAGCCTGGGGGCCGGGGCTGCCACCAGCCAGCGCCCCTGGAAGCCAGCCACTGTGGTAGATATTCTCATTCCTGTCCCGATACTCCCGCAGGGGTGAGCTCCGGGATTCCACTAACAACCGCCTTCATGTGCAGTCCAGGAGGGGAAGCTGAGACCCCACAGAGCCCTCCTCTTGCAACTGGTGCCACTACTGCTGACTGTGGTGGAGCCCTGAGCACACGCAGTGTGCCTGGGGTGGCATCTCCACAGTTCTGAGACCTCAGCGGCTCTTTTCACATGGGCACTACCCCCCCCCAAACCAGGTTGACAGGTGGTGGTGCTGCTGCTGCTGGTCCAGGGACTACACCCTGGTAACCTCTGCTGCAGCAAAAAGCAAGCCGGGAGGGGTCGGCATTGTGGTGTAGCAGATAAAGCTGCTGCCTGCAGTGCCAGCATCCCACATGGACGCCAGTTCGAGTCCTGGCTGCTGCACTTCTGATACAGCTCTCTGCTATGGCCTGGAAAAGCAGCAGAAGATGGCCCAAGTCCTTGGGCCCCTACACCTGTGTGGGAGACCCAGAAGAAGCTCCTGACTCCTGGCTTTGGATCAGTTCAGCTCCAGCTAGTGCAGCCATTTGGGGAGTGAACTGGCGGCTTGAAGACTTCCTTGTCTTTCTCCCTACCTCTCTGTAACTCTGACGTTCAAGTAAAGTAAATACAAAAATCTTAAAAAAAAAAAAAAAAAAGCAAGCAGGGACCCCTCCACTCTGTCATAGCCCCATCCCAGCTCCCAGCACAGTTCCTGGGATGAAACAAGTGTTCGAGAGCTGTTCATCGGGGCCTTTGGCGTATCTCGCTTCTTTTATGTCTAGCATAGCCACTTTCTGGCTCCTGGGAGTGCCAGTTTGAGAAGCATGGGCGCTACTGGGGAGGTGACTACTCGGGCGCTGGCCGGAACAGCTTCTACATGCATCCCACAGGGCTGGAGGGCAGCGTCTAGCCCCGCCATGCCCCGCGCGGCTCTGTACAGCTGTCCCTCATACTGAACCTTGGGGACTTCCAGCTGTGTTATTGGCGCTAGAGAGGAAGGAGTCATAGGGAAGACAGGTGGAGGGGTGGGAAGGCAGGGAGAGTCTGACCCCACATGGAGAGGTGTTCTCAGCTCTCGGCCTTTCGATAACCCACCAGCCCCTTCAGCTTTTTCTCTCCTTTTCTGCTTCTTCCCCTCTTCCCTTCTTCTCTAACCTTTTTCTTGGTTTCCAGGTTTTTTTTTTAAATTGTTTTTAAAATCTGTTGTTTCTATTTTAAAATTTAATTTTTTAGCGTTCTGCTACATTCTCTTGGAATACAGATACTATATACATGCACACATATCTATAAATACTATTTTTTCCTTGAAAACAGAGACATTATCTTCTCAGTCGCCTTTGACCATGATACAGTGCCCTCCCGAGACCAGCGATGGGCTTTAGGGCTTCCCTCTGTTCAAGACAAAGGCTCTGCAGACCCTTGGAGGGTGAGAATGCTTGCCACGTGCAGCACTATTGCTCCTGCTCCAGCTTGGTCCAAGTCTTCCCTTCAAACGGGGCTCCAGGCTGCACCCCAAACCTCGGACTCCTGTGGACTTCCACCCACAGCACGTCCCCTGGACGCGTCTCGGTTTTTTTATATTGACTCTGGTTTTCTCTCCTTTTCGTTGTCCTTGCTGGAACAAGGCCTCAGGAGAGAATTACGCCACCTCTGCATTCCCCGGGAAAGAAAGTGGCGTGATAAGAAGGCCAGATTTAGACTGGCACGTTAGGCAGCCAGTGCTAAGGAAGTTCTACCCAACAGTGTTAAATCTTGTTTTAGAATTATCTTTTAGAGGCTGCAAAGAGGGTTTCTGGATGCCCTTCACTCGTGTTCCACAGGGCCACATAGACTCCTGCGTCAGTGAGAAACACACGTGTGTATTTCTCAGTCTGGTGGAAATCGCCCATGGGTGATTTCATTCTTCTGCCTCTCCCCATGGTACTCGGCGGGGACTTCTGCCCCGCAGCATGCTCGAATGAGCAGGCTCCCCACTGACTCAAGGGTTCAAATGAGAGTGGTGGGAGCGAGGTCAGCTACTGCGAACATGAGGTACCAACTCTATTTTAGATCAAGTACAGGCAATCGTGTGTGCACGCACATGTGTGTTTTCTGATCTTCCATCAAGGAAAATGAAAAAGAGAAGGGAGAAGAAACTCAATGTTCCCTTAACCTCAGGAGTGGCCCAAGCCTTGGATTTCTGAATTGCAAGTTCACAGAGTATCTGGGCTGTTTCCTGGGGAAGAGGGTAAGAAGCGGCTTCTCTCTGTTTATGGTGGTGGGGACAATAAAGCCACTTCTGGGATTGTTCACAATCAGGGGGCCCCAGCCATGAATCAGTCCCG